AAAGTAATCAAAGATACAACTGCAGGAAGTGACCATTTCCCATTTCCCTATATGGTCTGAAATTGAGTTATAATCAAAGTGTTTATTTCAAGATGAATTCGGTCGATACTTAGAAGTAACAGACATTTAGCTCAACTTATAGACAAATGAAAACTCCAGGTAAGGTGAAAAAAGTTAAAAGAAAATGTTAATTATAAGCGTGAGCTATAGAAAGAGCAAAAGAGTGCTGCAGCTCTGTACTTTGTCCACAGGTGGCAGTATTATTAGAAAACTCTGTAATGCCTCTAACATGAGGTTAAAAGGAAAGGGAACAAAACTTTTCATTTATGTCCATAGTTCTAGCCTTGTTCTGGCCTTGGCTTTGCCTTTCAGTCTCGGCGTTGTTCATTTCAGTCCCAAACAGGGTTTTTCTTCCTAGATTGTCCTACTTATAGTTCCTACTATCTTCCCATTAACTGTCCCTCATAAAGAAAAGCGCAGGATGATGCAGCCACTATAATGTTTTACCATGCAGACCAGGGATGTCTTTATCTGTGAGCTTTCTTTACATACATAGTTTCGCATTCAGGGTAATAACTTGTATTTTGGACAAATTGACAGATAGAAATTTTGTTTTCATTTAATATACTAAATCTGGTTGAGATTATTCTAAGCAGGAGAGACAAAAACTCTGAGAGCAGAAAATAGGTTTCATACCTGTGCTAAATATTACTCCTTGTTCATACTGTGTTCACTTGAGAGGCTTTATTTGTTTTATGCCAACTATGACAGATTTGTTACTTCCTCAAAAAGCCAGTATCAGGTAGTTCATGGTGATGGTGCTGCACGCATATCCAAATCCAACAGGTCCAAAGTTAGTTTAAGCTATATGAAAGCATGAAAACCAACAAAGTAAAAATCATTTTTGGACCAGGTTTTTAAACATCTTTTTGGACATTTTGTTGATAACAAAACCAAAATAAACAGATAAATAATCATGGTTTTAGTAGTTGTTAAAAAGCGTCGCTAAAGTTCCACTCCATGTGTCGGAATGGTAAAGCAGATTCACCTTCCCTCATGCCTCCCTATTGTTAAGCCATTAAAGCAGTCGGAGCTACGCAGCACCGAAGCAATTTAATAGATACAGCATTTCAATACAGGGATTCAGCCAATCATATGGAAGCAACTAAGTGCATTAAAGAGTAAATAAACCCTCAATCAACATTTCGTATTGAGATAAATTGCATAAATCAAGCAATAAGGTTGCTATTCTAATGTAACTGTGCAAATGTTGACATTTTCGTGTAAACTTGTTTAACTCTGCAATAACAGGTATACAATTATTTTAGTGCTGTCCTCTATGGGTTGAAACCAGGTAACCAAGTCTATCGAGTGCCATCGGGTATAATGGTGTATTTGGAATTTATTGACATAATCTCTGAGGTGATATTGTTCTAGTTTAACGCTGTGGTTCTTGTTTTCTCCATTGTTCTTGTTTTACCACTGCAGCCTCTGCTAAACAATAACAATTAAAAAATCCCAGTTTTATGGGATTATACGACCTCAAAGTACATATAGAAGGCACCATAAGACCAATTTACACACCACCATGATGAGTCAGGACTTTGAATTAACATAGTGTGCAATGACCTATAGTGGATCTTAGGTGTGCATTTTATGAAAGATTACGCAACATAATGTTTTATTTTAGTTACTCAGATTATTTAGTGATTTAGTTTTCCTTATCTCACATCTCCACATTTATCCATGTCTCTAATCACTTTTTACCTTAGAAGGATTTTTTGAAATTTGTCTGGGACTGCCGTTATGCATTTAGACATATTGAAGACGTCCTCCACTGGGCCTCAGAATAGGGAACAGATGGGATTTAAAGGACTTTGAAAACTGCATGGCTGTTGGAAACCGAGATTTGGGTCAACCATCTCCTGAGTTTACAGAAAATGGCCCATAAAGAGTAAATACTCACTAAGCAGCAACTTATTTAAACAACTAGGCCTTGTTGCAGTCAGAAGAGAATTAGCAGGCCGATCTCAATTGAGACAAATGCACCAGAAGCCTAGAAAACCAACTGTTAACAGCAAAGTATTTACAAAAACATCTCTGAACACACAACAGATGGGCTACATCAGCAGTGGGTCACTCCTCTCGGCAATATAAACAGAAAACGGAGGCTACACTTTACGCAGATTAACCAAAATTGGACAATGACAGATTGGAAAAATGTTTTGCTTGGTCTGCGGCATCTTGATTTCAGCAGCAACATTTAGAGGTTAGGGTAAGAGTAGGTTGCTACAGGTGGTCTGAGCTTTGTTTAATGCAGACCACTGTTGTTGACCATGTCCATCCTACTGCAGATGGCTACTTCTGCAGGATAAAACTGTGTTTTAAAATCATCTCAATCCGTTTCTTTAAAAAGGACAATGTGTTTACTGTACTCCAGTGGCATCCACAGCCAGCACACCTCAGTCCAGAGCAACTTTTAAATTAGTTGAAACAGGAGGTTCCCATCAAAGAATTTGGGCATTTCTGAGGGTAAAAGGGGATCCAACTAGGTACTAGTAAGGTGCCCCTAATAAAGGGGCCAATAATCGTCCTTCTTTGAGTCCAGTGTGTCTAATGTTGCAAAAAGCAGCTGTCAGAGCTAACTCTGCACCACAGAGCAAAGGTCAGCTCAGGATATTCAACAGAGTTCGAGTTCACATCAAAAGTGCTCACTGTAGGCGGCTCTGGGACTCGGTTTATTGTATGTTGTTGCCTGTTATGTATCCAGGCAACAGCTCTGCAGATTGTTCAGGGTGCGGCTCAGCACAACATGAATTGGAAGTGACTGCATATGAAGAAAGACATTATTTCACATTTTGCTTTCGTAACTGACAAACTTCAAAAGTTTAGCTAAGTGCATGTCAAAGTTGCAGCAGCAATGTCACCTTACCTGTACGACAATGTTTTTATGTGGTGATGTTACACTGAAACTGGGGCAAAGTCATTCTTCTATACATCAGTTACCATATTTGGAAACTTATGACCGTGACAATGACTTCAAGTCATTTCTAACCATCCGTGCTTCCTTTAGGTATCCACTGAACACACAAGGTATAGAAATCTGTTCTCCCAAACAGGATGTTTCTGACTTAATGCCTAAAACAAATGTCTCACTTAAAAATGAGAAGAATCCAGTCATGTTTTGTCCTGAGACGTCTGCTAAAAACATAATTAGGAGACTCAAACCGAGTGCAAAAAAAAAGAACCGTGCAAGAAGTTTCATGTTCATTTATTGCAGTTTATGAAAGGAAATTCTGACTCTGTCAAAAAACTTTTGTAACAAAGATGCAAATTTACTCAAATAAAAAAAATGAAATCAAAGGCAGTGCCCTTAGCCTATGAAGCCCTATGATGCACAACAACAAACAGTGACAGTCGTATATTAATACTATAATGCACATTCTTAAAGAATGATTTGTCTGTTATTCTAAAAGCTAATCTACTGTTAGGTACAGCAATAAAACAAAATAAAATAGACTCAAAAATATCATATCCTTTCCTGGAAAATAACAGCAGGGTGACTTTGCTTTTAAAAGAATACAAATCTGGATCATGAAAGGCTTTTATTCATTTCTTTACAGCAGACATTACTTCGTTTACCCTAACCTTCATGATCGGTTCTTCCGTATGAAAACGAGTTATACAATGGCTGAAATTTAAAAGACCCTGTTAAAGCAATAAATATGTTTACCCACAGCTTCAACTTCTCACAACTTAAGCAACTTTAAGAAAAGACCTCCATAAGTTTGCAGTGCCTTGCAAAAGTATTGAACTTGTAACCTTGGTTACAGCCACAAACCTCAATGTGTATATCAGGATTTTATGTGACAGACCAACCCAAAGTAGTGCATAATTATAAAGTGGGATTTAGTTTTTTTTTTAAACAGTTAACCTGAAATATTTGCTGTTTTATCTGCAGTTAGCTCCTTTGATGATACCCATAAATAAAATCCAGCATCACCAAATTAATATTCAGGATTAATAGCATCCATCTATAATGTAATCCATTCACAAAAGATTTTCTCTGAAGCCCCAAGAGGTTAGAAATATTTAATGAACAAACAAAGACTGAGAACCAGACTAGGCAGGTCAGGGAGAAAGTTGTGCAAAGGTAAATATGACGGTTAAGTTATAAAACAAAACAATAAGCTGTTTATTCAATAAAATGAAGCGTATGGCATTAGTGTTTTAAGTCTATAGACTTTTAAGCTTAAACTAACAGGGTAGGCAGGGATAGAGTTCATTGTAGAAGCAGAAAAAGTTTTTTTTAGCACATTGCTGTAAACTAACACTGTGAAACATGGTGGTGGAAGCATTATGCTGTGAGAATGCTCCTTTAAGTAGAAACAGTAAGGATGCACTGGAAAAACGATCTAGAAATAATTAAAAATTTCTTAAATTAAGTGTATTTACCCTTGATTTGAGTAGGTAAATGAAATAGTTTGCCAATGGAATCAGTATTTTTACTCTTAAAATAAGATAATTAGATAGTAGTCACTTGAAAATAAACAATGCAATTGTGTTTTCTTATTTTAAATCTAAATTGTCTTCTTCCATTGGCAGAATGTCTCTTTTATCCCCTCAATTGAAGAACAAATTCACTTATATTAAGAAAAAAAGACTTGGATTTAGATTTTTTGCAGTGTGCTGAGATTTGATGAGGATTAAAATGGAAATTTAAATGGAAATCTTTCAAGCTTGACATGTTGCACATTTTAAACTATAAACCATAAAACAATTTAAATATTTATAGTGACAAATGTTTTCATTCCACTTTACTGTTATGCACTACTTGTAACAATGTTCAAAAGGAGAACCTTTGCAAGGCCCTGTAATCTGATATAATCTGATGTTTGCTTTTCTCACAAGTGAAATTAAGGTTAAATTCTGATGTTTTGGAACATATGTTCTAGTGATCTGTGAAATTCTTTCCCCTCCACCTTATCGTTTCGTTTTGTTTTTTTTACAGTATGTTAAAATTTCTTTCCCCTCACAGCAGGAATGTTGTCAGGCAGCCAAACGACAAATATGGCATTTGTAAAATAGAGATTTATTGGCATAGTGCTCCATTCCTGAAGACCATCTGTGCATGCAACAGCCTCCGAGGTGAAACTTCTCAGTCTGTCATCAGGCGGCAGTAAAGAATCACCTGAGAATCCCTCATGTCCTCACACACATCCTTAAACAACCTTAAAAACAGGTTTGATTAAGATTTGTTGGGTGTAACTGCTGTGTCTGTTGTGGAACTGCAAGTGTTCACATATTTATAGTGTCAATGTGGCAAAGCTTTTTTATTTATTGTGTGAAAACATTTGATCGGTTTCTGCTCCTTTCTGCATATTAGCAAACATCTGACTTAAGTTAATATTAATTCATGCTTCTTAATCTGATCCCGGGAACAGGAGGAGAGCTGGGGGGGGATCCGCAGCCGCACGAGTAGGGAGGAGAAAATTCAGCACTTAATACTGTGGGTGATGGTCAGTGTTGTGTAGAGAGGAGGAGGGTGAGGCTGAGGGAGACAAAGGTTCAAGGCTGGGTCACTGCACTGGGCTCCTTGTCATAGATGTAGCTGCCCACGCCGCCAGTGTTGACGCCTGGAGAGACCACAGGGAGAACAGCAGGAGAAGAGTCAGGATGGGAGCAGAGGAGGAGGAAACATAGGAGGGACGGGTCCAAAACATCTCCTCTACAGCTGACTCTCTGAGCAGGGGGAGCTGCGTTCAAAATCAATACCAAACTTGTATGACATTTTCTTTCAAGTGTTATTTGGAGACTGGTGGGTCGACAGCACCCCCTAGCGGTTACCTTTGGGTCCGAAGAGGACAGCGTAGCAGGGTTTGTGGCAGTAGGGTTGGCCGTCATGCTGCAAACGGGGGAGAAAACAAAAACTGTCAGACTGAGAATTTAACTCTTAGATGAGCTGAAATAGATTAAATGAAACACTCTTTAGAAAAAACTGCCTAAAACTGATATTAGTCTTTAAAAAGAGCCAATTATTTTCTTAAAAAACCTATTTGTATAAGAGTTTCTAAGTTTAATGATCGGTGAGACAATAGCTGGTTTTATGTTTTATAAAAGACGTGATACATAACATAAAATGTGCATTTTATGTAAAATGTACATAAAAATAGAGTTTTAACAAAGCAAAGCTAAAATAAAACTTGTTTTACGCCATCACAAAAGGCATACAAATCAACCTGTTTAGCAGACATAAGCAAACTTTATGGCGAATTAGCAATTTTCAGATCTTTTTGCCATAAAGCAAGTATCAACATGTGACTCATGAGCTGAATCTCGTAGTTTTTATCCTAACTTGGCTGCAAATGATCACTGAAGCTCTCAGGTGATGAAATCTAACTGATCGCCCCTCATCTCTTCACTAAGTGCTTCCATGTGTTTTATTGTTGAAAAGTTTTCCTGAATCCATGCAGTTTTCTCACACAGCTCCATGCTTTAATGGCGAAACATGTATTAAAAAATAAATAAAAGGGTTTAGCTTTAGATTTGTCTTTTTTTTCATGTCTGAAATAAATATTCACATTTCAAGAAGTAACTTTAATATGACAGAAGCTGCATAGGATGCTAAAGATTAGGGTGATGGCAAGGAGGGCTGGTGGAGATATGCTAAGTAAAGATTTTTCAATTGATTGTTGAGGAGGGAATAAATGATGAGCATTTTTTCTAATTAAATATTATTAAAAACCGATATATTACTTTGTTCTTAGCAGAAACTCCTTTAACGTCTGGTTTTCTATCAGAAATAAACTTCTGATTTACAGTAGTAGCCGTTCAAAATGTCCCCACTCGATGGGCCTTTGGCTGGTCCTCTACGATTCCTTTTTAAACATCAATCTTTGTACTAAAATATTCTTTCTGACATAATTTGTGGACATTAAGATCTAAAGAAAAGCGCCCTCTCCTGGTCAGACCCTGTAATTCAGTTAAAGGGTGGGGTCCGAGTTTAAAAAAAAGCACATCCAGGAGAAGGCCAGTGGCTGGAAGTTGGAGGGGATTTTGCTGGGCGCTGCAGGGGAGTAGGCTGCCATTCAGCTGGCGTTTGACTGGGAAGCAGCCATTTCAATGGCTGCTACTGTAAATGTAGGGATTATAATAATTACAATATAGTCCTAAATCTGCTAGAGGTGTTTCTTTAATGGAGGTTTTATTGAATGTAGCATATTAAAAACAAAGGCAGACTCTATAACCTTACATTTTCAGAAGGGGAAATAAATTAAAATGTGAGCATAGAGCATAATATAAAACTAAAACCAGATTTTACATCAAATATTTAGTTTCTGCACTAAATTTCCCTTTTTCTGTTTGCTTTTTCTTTTTTTTCTGAAATACATGAACAAATAAACTCTTATTTTGTTCCCAACAAACCATCTTCATGTTTAAAACAGTTGAAGATGCTTACAGTGGTGTTCAAATAATGGTGTTTATGAGGAAATATAACATCACCCTGAGCACAATGGAGCACAGTTATCCCAGATCTTTTTAAATAACACTACAGAGGGAAAACCTTTAGGTCAAACTTTACTTTAATACTCGGGTTTAAACACCACCTGTTGGTTGAATTGGAAGGTTTTTGCCCTTTAATAAAAGGAATCATTCTTTAATAATGATCTGATATAATTATTTCATATCATCAAACATGTCTATTTGTTTAATATTCTCATTCAGTGGGGTTTTTAGCTCATCATCGCTATATGTGATCTGCCATCACCTCTGCATGGCTGCCCGGGGCCAGAGTCTTGCTGCACCTCTCGCAGCGCAGACAGGGTCGGTGCCAATCCTTGCCCAGGGATGTCACCTTCTCAGCTAATAGAACGGAAAATGCACATGTACCAAACATCTGTGAGACGCCTTGTAAAGCAATTTGCACGTCTGTGACTGTGATTTCTCCTGACGTCTTACCAAAGTACACCTTCTTGTTGCATCGTGGACAAAGGTTGGCCTCGCCGGAGAAAGTGGTGATGCCACCAGCTGTAGAGAAAAAAAACAAAAGGATGGAGGTAAGCCTTGAAAAGACAAAATGCTAAGAAAATTAATTAAATGGATTGAAAAGTGATGAATAAGTGTTTTTTCTGGTGCTGCTAGGTGTGAATTCCACTGGGGTAATAATAAAAGGATGTAAAATCTATAAAGAAAACAAAGCCGGGAATTCTACTTCAAGGTGTTCTGGTGTTTAAAGGGAAACTTCCCAAACCCTGCCAAGGTTAAACACTTATCTCATTGCTACACATTAGCCTTAAACTGCCTTAAATGAGAGGCAACATGCTCCGATTCAGCTGCAGCTTAAATGTTTTCCTATAAGGCCCAAAACACTAATAACTCATAAAGTATTGACACTAATTCCACCTCCTGTCATGTTTCACTGTGAATATATGTAACAGTGATTCATATTTTTCCACGTTCTTTACATCTAATAATCTGAAAAGTGTGGCCTACCTTTGTTAAGCCCCTATTACTCTAATTTCTTACTACGTTTAGTGAAACCAGCAACCCTCAGAAGGGAAAGATGGCGCCTAATTATTCAATTAGGAGTCTCAGAAGGCCCCCATTTGGTGAACAGAATAATGAGAAGTTAATTATCCCAGATAAAAAAAAAAACAAAAACATGCAGATGTTTCTAAACTGACAGGCTGAGCCTAAATCTGAGAAGCAGCCAAGAGGCAGAGAGTTACTCTGGAGGAGCTGCAGGCTCAGGTCAGACCAAAGTTATTATCATTAACTAAAGCTGATGAAATAACGAAACATAGAATTAAAAAACATCTATGTCAACTTTGTAAAAAGAAAAAAATGATGCTTTAATAACACTTAAGAAAACTAATTAAATTAACTGAATTTTAAGAGATAATGTGCTTAGTTTTTGTTTGTGTCTTTAAGGTTATGCATCAATATGAGGTCTTGCTTCCGGTTTGCTGTACAGCATCACGCCAGCAGATGGCAGTCAGGTCATTTTCGCTGCTGCAATGATTGGTTCTTATCTGACATTTCATTTCAAGAATTATTTATCTATTGTAGTTTTGCTTCCTGTATCCAAGTCGTATCACATAAAAGACCAAAAGTACAACTGAAACCAATAAAAACTAAACTGAAATTAAGGATTTTTTTGAAAAACAGCATCATGCTGTGTGGATGTTTAAACAATGAGGAAGTGGATGGAAGTGATTCTGGAAGAGAACCAGTTAGAAGTTAGAAAACACCTGAGATGGGGGAGGAGGTTACGCTGCAAAAAACTGAAATCTAAATAAGTCATTTTTTTCTTAAAATAAGTGCATTTTTTCTTGAATTAAATAAGCAATGGAGACACTGTGCCAATGGAACAAGACAATTTACATTTAAAACAAGAAAAAAACTATTACATTGTCTTATTTCAAGTGCATATTATCTGATTATCTTATTTCAAGAGTAAAAATACTCATTCCATTGGCAAACCATGTTATTTACCTACTCAAATTAAGGGTAAATAAAGATAAATTGAATAAATTTTTACTTATTTCTAGATTGTTTTTGCAGTGTACTGCTTATTGAACATTGAAGCATCACACTTTTTTTTTCCAATTAAGATCTGTTCAAAAATATTGATCATTTTAAAGTTATGTGCTTTGTGTTGATTTAAGACAAAATAAAAACTACAAATAAATGTCATAGACCACACAGTGAAGAATATATGAAATACCTTTGGATGGCGCCTTTGGAGCATAAACACGCTTTTCTTCAACTTTAGAGGCTGAATCCACACTAGTGGGGGACGTGTTGTTATTAGCTGGAGCCTCATAAACATACGAGCCCGCTCCACCAATGTTGACACCTTTAATAGAGCAAGCAGATGTGGGAAAAAATACCAAAAAGATGAACAAAAAATTTAATTAAATGCTGCTTTTAATGTTTTAATTAGACAAACACAACTTAAAGGAGCTAAATGTAGAGCTTTACGCTAATCTAATCCACACAGAAAGGAAGCATAAATAAATAAATTGGTTTTTAATAATGTAAGGATCTGAGAAGGCATGCAGTTCACCTTTTGGTCCAAAGAGGGCAGCATAGCATGGTTTGTGGCAGTAGGGTCTTCCATCATGCTAAGGGAGAGAAAATATGAGCATTAAAAAAAACAAACCTTTAATGTTTCACTTAACTGTGAAAAAAAAAAAACACCAGTCTGACGCATACAGGAAGTTAGACATGATGTAAAGTCATGTTTATTTTATTGGTGCTAAAAATTTGTGATGGAGAAACGTGTCCAAAAATGGAGCAGATTTTTTCCCCCCTTCCATCTCACTGCCACCTCATGATGAAGTCATTGTCACAGGGCGCCTTAACCCAAAATAACGAGTGCCGGCGTTTCCAGGGAGCAGTTCTCTGTTGATGAACTCACACCACGCTTCAATGGGAGCCTTGTGTCTGCATGTGTGACAGATGCTGTTTCCACTTACAGGACGGGGAGAAGAAAAAAAAACAAAAAACGCGTGACTTAAAAGGTCTGAAGCCAGTGCACTCTGGGAATGTGGCAGCAACCTCTGAAAAATGTGATCGGTGGAGGGACCGGGGCTGAGCAGCATTGGAGTTTGGACGGCCATAGTTGAGGAATATCAGGTGAGGATCTGTGTGATGAGTGGAAAACCAGCCACTCTGCACCTAATGCTCACTTAGTTTTAGTCACAGCTCTTTTTTTTCTTGGAGGAAAGCATAGAAGGAAGAAAAGCCCATTCTCAGACTTTAATAATGCATTAACCAGGACAGGATCAGCTGTTAAAGTCGCCACACACTCCATCCACCAGTGGGTTTCATTTACACTAGAATCTCTGAGGATCTCTGCTGGGTTCCAGACTCTGACTCTGCAGCGATGTCTTTCTTATGAGCCGACATGCAGCTCTAGAATCTGATGCAAACTGATCTTAAAAAGATTGAAGAAAAGTCCCCCCTTTCCTCCATTATCAACAAATTTGAAATTTGTTTCAGCTCGTTGTTGATTCCTCACTGCTGAATATCAAAAAGACACCAGCTCTGATGGCCTACCAGTTCTTCCCACTCTCATTACATACTATATTCACCTATATTCATCTCCAAGCTCATTTTCTTCCACTTCAGGATGAGGTTGTATTCAACCATACTCCTATTTATAAAGTTAAAGTTCATGTTTCTTTAAGGATGTCCTTTATAATGAGTCCCGACCCAAGAATCCACAGCAGTCCACTAACGACCCATTGCTGCCGGTTAGATAAACAATCTAAACCACATTTCCTTCCAGTGTTGTCAAAGTTTAATCATTTTAGATGACAGTCAAAAAAAAAAAAAAAAAAGACAGAGCAGCATGATAGAAAAAGGTTACACCTGAAGGAAGGTAGCTGCTTTTTTTTAAAACTAATTTGTTATGACAATAATCAATGTGTTTTTATCAATGTGTAATAACACATTAAATATCCAATCAATTCTGACCAACTTCCTTATTTCTCTGCTAAATTAAAGCATCCCCACACAAAGGTGGACTTCTGAGGCCCCCAGTTAGTAAATTACAGAACTAATTTGCCAATTAGAGGCGTAGTTAGTAAAGTATGTGCATCCAAATAATGGGTTATCAGAGTAAAAGAGGCTGGATGTCAAAAGAATGTAAATTATTTTTACATTTTCATTTGCAAATGATGTAGAATGTTAATAATTTGCATAAAGTCTTTGGTAAAATGATGAAAAGAAAAAGAAGTATGTCTTGCATTAATCCCTGTTGGCTCTTTATCCAGATTATTTGAAAGCAAATTATTAGGAAAAAGCAAAGTATTGAAGAGAATCGGGAGGAAACTGCTGGATACGTGAGGATGACCGCTTCCGGCCATGAATGCACGTTTTTTTAAACGCTGGAAACTTGGTCGTCCATCTCTTTAAGAGCTCTGTGACCATTTGAACAAAATAACACCTACCACTATAAAACACCCACTAAAAAAGGCAGCGCTGAACACAAAACTGATGAACGTGGAATGAGAGTTAAATTAGAAGCAAAAGGAAATCCTCAGGATGCTGGTTTAATGGAAAAGGTTAACCGATCCCTCTGGGATGACAAGGACACAATTCCTGTTAGGATATAAACTTAAACCGCCATGTTTACTTCAGACAGTTTAAACACGATTTATTTCTTGGTTGTAGAAAATATTTAGTCGTTCAGTTTCAGAAAACAGGAAATCTGTGTTACGATATTTTCATCATTTCTCCTTGTTACACTTTATAGCCAGAAAGGGGGGCAATAACACAAATACTGCACTTCAGACCTGCTTCCTGAGGGGTAACCAAAGTCTAGCCTCTAATTACTTGAAGGAAAACAAGTAATATTATTATAAATAGATAAATAGATATAAATACTAATAGATTTTATCTCTAGACATGGATCTTATCAGCAGACCATGGATCATGAGCAATAAAATCCAACCAGAAATCGAGTTGATGATACCAAACGGCCTTTATGCCCATTGTCTTTATTGTTTAGAACACATAAACCAGACTCAGAAAGAAAGTTAAAGATGATCTAATCATTAATATTAATAATCAAAAAAACTTTATGATCTCACATTGCCGTAATTTACCTCTGCATTTATCCCATCCCCTTGGGGAGCAGTGGGCTGCAGTTGTGGGGCGCCCGGGGAGCAGTGTGGGGTTAAGGGTCTTGCTCAGAGACCCAGAGTGGCAGTCTGTGGGAGTAGGACTCGAACTCGGCACCTCAGCATTCCCAGCTCTATGCCCCAACCACTAGGCCGCCACTCCCCAAACCCCCTTAAGGGTCTGATCTGTTTTTAAAAGAGTTTTAGCTTTAAAACTGCCTAAATATTTCATCACCAGTAATTTGAATGCAACACCAGAGGTAGTGCCAGAGAGTAGGTAGCACTCCCCCCCTCCCCCGCCTGTTGCTGCACACTTAAGGGCTGGTTATCCTCCCGCAGCAGTATGTCGCAGTTAGCTTATCGCAGATATTTTTGATTTATGCCCAATATTGAAGCAGGGTCTGCGCTATGTTATTCCACGCCGCGACGCAAGAGGGACAATCAGGAACTATCTGTGGGTCTGGATAAGGCCGAGGAGGTGAGGAAGTGGGGGCAAGTTTGTGCAACAAAGGAGAGACATGAGGGCGAAAAAGAGTGGGAATCCAGGTGGAAAAAGGGTCCCAGCGTTCACGCGCACCTCGCTCTTCTAGCTGGTCCATCTTCAGGAGTCATTTCCACAATGGCGGTCAATGGCGGACAAACAAAACAAGCTGGTAAGGTACCAAACAGGAAATGTGCATTGTGTAGAGCGGATGAACAATTGACCAATCAGAGGCCTTCTGTCTGTGGTCACCTACAAGTTTGGAGAGGTGCAGCAGAGTGTGAAGGGACGGCGGCACATTTACGTTCACAGCGACAGACACACAGACGACCTGGTCTCTGATTATAAATCAGCCTTTAGTCAGCTGCTTGAAATATTTCCTATTATAAAATTCAAACATTCCATGTGGACAGTAAAGATGCATTATCCGTCATTTGTTACCAAGGAAACAGTGTTTATAAGCCAGGGGTTGACATTAAGGATTTTTACCTTTCACATTTCATTTGCCCAGAAACAATTTTTACTTGCCCAGTATAATGTTTGATAAATATAGGTTCATTTTTGTATATATATCAATGTTTTTTGTAATTCAGTATTTTTTAAGTTTACAGGATCCTGGTGTGTATATGCATGCGTGGGTGGTGGGTGAAATGGGTGGTGGGTGTGTTACTGTACTTACATTTTTTTGCCTTGTTGTTTTTTACCCTACCAAGTCGAAAAAAATGATTCGCGCCAATTCCCGGACAAAAATAGCTCAATATGGCAGAAAATAACGCGGCTTTTTCAAATCACGCAAGAATGTGTACAAAACAACAAAAATGGCGCTGACAACGCTTTTTTTTTTTCTTTGAATGGCGGTGATTTTTGAGTGATTATGCGAATAAAATGATACAGAAACATAGGTACGATAGCGCTTTCTAGCTTGTTTGTCGTTTTGGTAACTACATCAAAATTACCGCTAGGTGGACAAAAATCACGCCATCTGGCGGAAAATCACCCAGCTTTTTCAAATCACGCACCTTTTTCAAATCACGCGAGAATGTGTACAAAACAACAAAAATGGCGCCGACAACGCTTTTTTTTTCTTCGAATGTCGGTGATTTTTGAGTGATTATGCGAATAAAATGATACAGAAACATAGGTACGATAGCGCTTTCTAGCTTGTTTGTCGTTTTGGACACTACATCAAAATTACCGCTAGGTAGACAAAAATCACGCCATCTGGTGGAAAATCACCCAGCTTTTTCAAATCACGCACCTTTTTCAAATCATGCGAGAATGTGTACAAAACAACAAAAATGGCGCCGGAAACGCTTCTGGGTCGTTTTCATCGAATGTCGGTGATTTTCTAATAATTTTGATTGATAAATAATTTTTTTTTTGCGATCATTGAACTTGCCCGACGGGGAAATGCAGTGAAATTTGTACTCTCCAAACAATAAAAACTACATGCCCTGGGCAATCGGGCGATGCTTAACATCGAGCCCTGTAAGCAGTTTACTGTCTGCAAGCTTTAATCCAATCAAACTAAATTTTTTCTAATGTTCGTGGGGATACCGTGAAACCAGGAAATAGATAGTGATTTAGTTTATAGCTTGCACAAGGAGTTTTTACATTTCTGTCAGATTCTGATTTTGTTTCTCTGTTCCGGACCATCCTGCCGCTAACACCAGCTGTCCATGTCTGTAACGCCGCCATCAAGGCAGTTTAAAAGCATCATCAAGGCCCATTAGGCTGATGTGAGCACTGAGCACCCCTAAGTGGTGCAGCTGACCCTGGAGCCGCTAAAACGGCAAGAGCTCATCAGCAAAATACCAAACCGTGCAAAACGTTGGAGGGAATGAACCATACAACCCACCAGTAGGAGGGAAGTGAATACATCTGAACATGAGTGTTTGAAATTGACCAGATTTCAAGCTGTTAAGGATTAGAGGAGCATTTAAACCAGCACATGTTCTTATACATGATTATTAGGATTTATAGATGTCCACTGACACCAAAAAGTCCTGATGTTTCAGCAGCCTCTGATATTTGGGGACAAAAAAGACGAAACAAAAAGGAAAAAAAACAGCCACACAGCCGACCTTGTTCAGCCAGCAGACATCAGGCCACACGGGGCTGCATCCTGTCTCCTTTTTAACAAGAAGTCAAAAGAGAACAACAAACAGCCTCCCAGACAATCCGTTTTAGGGTGTTTTCATGAGAAACGTCACCCAGCCTTGTTGTGTTTCCATGACGATGATCAAGGAGAGGTTCGTTTCATATTAACATACGGTTTGTGGCAGAACAGAGGGAAATACGGAGGAGGAGGAGCAGAGGATGGCGGGAAGAGTGAGCACGGCCACCGTGTGCGACTACATTACTGTAAGCGTGCAGAGATTAAACAGCAGGCCGCTGTCCTTTGGGGTCAGCAGGGGAAATGGCTTTAGTGTCTAAAGAGGTTGAGATCATATCCTCTTTGACTGAAAAAAAAAGCCTGAAGATCGAGAGGATCGTTTTTGATATTCATGCATCTGTGTAAATAAAAGAAAAGTAAAACTGAGGGCTAAATCAGGACGAGATGAGAGACTCAGTCAGGGGAAACCGTCCTGAGATGCGATACTGCAGCCTGATTATGCAGGACAGGATCTGAAAGCAGCTCATCCTGCAGGCGCTAAGGGAGTCAGACCTGCTGCACGGAAGCAACATTTGCCACCGTCTCTACCAGACGGGACGCAACATCAGACCGGAAAAAGGAAAACAGACGCAGGGATATCCTGAAAAAGAAGCACAAGGACTTTGACATATCATGACCCAGAGAAGGAAACATGCTTCAGCTTTGTCACAGGACTTTTGAAGAAACTACAGATTCATTTTACACAATATTTTAGGTTGAAAAGGCCAAAAGTGAGAGATCAGGCTTGTTGACATGTGACAGTGTAAAAGAAAAACCTCTGATCTATCTTTATGTCAAGCAGACATGCTGCACTTCTATGCTGTAAAGCACAGCATAGAGGTGCAGCAACATTTTAAAAGAGTTTAAAAGAGATGATGGAGAAATCCCCACAGTGGGGAGATATGCTTGTTTCTCTTTAGATCATATTGTACGTGAAGCAAATTCATTTTCTCCATTCTGACCATTCAGCTGAAGCTAATTTGAAGGAAAAAGGGGATTTCCACAGAGAGAGGGTTTCTCTTCACTCCTCTTAGACGTCACTGACCTCTGCATGGCCTCCTGCAGTCAGAAGCTTGTTGCAGCGGTCACATTTGAGGCAGAGTTTGTGCCAGTCCTTCCCCAGCGATGACACCTTCTCAGCTGCAAATCAAAGACAAAGAAAAACAAAAGAAAACTGGAATCAATGCAAACATTCACATCAAGCAGCATCCATGCAGATTGCTTTGAATAATCCTTTTTTCCCCCCCTCCATCCACTGCGCATGTTTGCATCACAGCGCTGCCCTTCCATCAGCCACTGACGATGACGTCCCCCCATTGCTTCACTATCTACAATAATGATTAGTTTGTACTGCATTGATGGAGATGCTGTCATTATGCCAGCAGAGGGATTGTTTTCTTGGAATGGGGAACAGAGGGGATGCCTGTGTGCAACACAGGATACTGCGGTGATGTCATAGCCGGGTTTAACTGACAGCAGCTTTAGCCCCAGTCCAATTGAAACAGCAGGGGGGATCCATATCTAACCCATATATTTTCCATCAAAAACACCAAAGACACGCTCCCATCCCCCCACCCTGATCCAGACGACCCCTAAACCTCATTTCCGTCTGCTTTTTTTTTTCCTTCTACCCAGACAGGCAGGGGACCCTAAATATACACTTTAAATAACAATTCCCTGCTCCCACACAATGGGCCCCAAGGAGCCGTGCTGGCAGCAGAGGAAACACCTTCCCTTATCAAGGCTTGACAAAAAAACAGACGGATACTTGAGCCTGTTTCCTACATGCCCCGACTCCCAAAAACACACAAACATGCGCGCATATGTGCAGAGATGAAGGCGTTCCTCTTCTTCTTCCATTCCTTTACGTAGCTCCCAGTCACAATTTCTAAAACCTGAAAGTTTAAAACAAAAAAAAAATCTTTGTGCAAAAGATGCTGTGGTCACATGCATGTTGAAAATTATAATCTTCCCAATTGCAATTTTAATAATAATAATAATACATTTTTCATGATTTCCTGGTTTGAGCTGCAAACTCTGTAAACTGCAAGCGACGATTATAGATTTGACATTAAAATTCCTTTAGCATTTTAAGGCTGTCGGTGTTTCCACAGCAGACAGAGGCTAGACATTGAAAAGAACACAGAGAAACTTTGTTTTAGAAGGTCCAGCTTTGCTCATTTGGGCTTGAGGCAGATGGATTTCAGTACAGATACAGTTACCTTCTTTTTAATACCAAAAGATTCAGGTAGAAAACAGCAAACTACCTCAGTTAAAAAAAAAAGAAGAAAGAACTGAGCATGGGCCAAAAGCTAACTGAAGTAAACGAACAGCCGATAGTATTTATTCTAAATAGCTTCTTACATTTGCTCTCCACAAATACAACCACATTTAATAACTTCCACACTGCAGACTGTTGTGGTTTATGCAATCTGATAGCATTTACGCACGCTGCATTCACTGCTTTAAAGGAATATTGGAATTTCAAGTTCCCAAATATCCCTTCATCACTCAAGAGTAATTTTAGAGGAAAATTTCTCTCCCTTTTCTTTTTGAAGATGAATCCTAAAAATACTAAAAATCTGTTTAAAATAAAACCACAAAAAGGGCAGCTAAGGCAGTTATTCAATCAAAAATACATAAAACCCCTGAATAGGCTCAGATCACACTTCTTGATTTTATAAAATTAGCAGGCGTATAGCTGGACAACCTCTCTGTCAAGAGTTCCTTTCTTTCCTTCTTTGCAAAGCAGATTAAATTAAATTCCATCAAGTTAAATTTCATTAGATTTGATTGAATATCACAAAGAGCACATTAAATTATGAAGTGGAAAAACTCCCTCCAGCTTTCTTTGAGATGTGATTACACCCTGTGGGAGTCGCACTCTCTGCTAACTATGTCAATTACGACAAAACCCTCAGAAAAAAAAATAACTGACTTGATTCGAGGTCTTCAAAACAGAACAGACTTTTCTAACAACTGTTAGAAAAGTCTTAAACACAGTAAGGCACACTATAAAAAAAAATTATCACAGATGCGGTCAAACTTTTCCATCAGAGAGCATGCATATTCTAAAGACAAGAAACAATGGAAAATCAGCTTTTTTAAATAAATAACATATCAGTTATACTCTTCTGATGTTGAACATCATCTTTAGCTGAAGCTGATTATCCTCGAAAACAAGAAAGAACTTTTAGAAAAGAACCTGTTTAATATGCGACGACCCCTATTTTAATCCTTTAAAAAAAACAAAAAAACTCAGGGAGTAACTTCCTTAAAAAAACCTATTTATGGAAAACATAGGTGAAATTTGTGACTCTAATGTGGAAATAGGAATGATTTCTTCTCTCCTACTAAAACCTGTCTCTGTTTTCCTCAGGATAAGGAAAAAAAACTGGAATCTTGGATTTTCAGGGAAGCAGCCGGGCTGAAAAAGGAGCCAAACCAAAGTTCTTGTAATGCCATGAGGTGATTGTGTGTCGGCATTAAGTTTCTCAGGCAGGAATTTCAACTAGTTTTCAATTTAATAACTTTTTTTGTTAGCTTTAATGTCTAATAAACATATAAATAATGCCTATCTGAATGGTTAATCCCACAATAATTGATAAGCTGCAGGTTAAACCATTTGTTTAAGGTTCTGAAAAGAAAGTGAAAAGACTGGTTCTACATCTGTACAGTAACTTCCCTTCCAACCACTACATGCAGCTTCATTTCCATGACAAATGTGCACAGAAATGTGTTGATACTGTATGCCGCCTAATTTGAAAATGCAAAGTTTAGCAATTGCGGTATCCATCCACCAATCCATTTTCCTTCAAGCTTATCCCTATTGGGAGTGCTGGCACCTATCTCCAGCTGTCTACGGGTGAGAGACGGGGTCCACCTTGGACAGGTCACCAGTCCAGGGCAACACAGAGACAGACAGGACAAACAAACATTCACGCAAGGAATACTTAGAGAACCCAATTGCCCTAACAGTCATGTTTTTGGACTGTGGAAGGAAGCAAGAGTACCCGGAGAGAACCCACGCATGCACAGGGAGAACATGCAAACTGCATGCAGAAAGACTCGGGCTGGGATTCGAACCCGGAACCTTCTTGCTGCAAGGCAGCAGTGTTACCCACTGCTTCACTATACAGCACATCACTTAAATAAAAAACCTTATTAAAATTATACGTGAATACTTTTTTTCAAGTGGTAACTTGACATGCCAGCATCAGATGTTAACGCATGAGCTCTAACCATATTTCAGCCACGGCTTTAGAGGGCGCCATCATCCTCCAACTACTTCCTGTCTTCTTCTTAATTTTATTAAAAAGCAGAAGGGTCCAGCTGCAGATCATGTGATTGTGTGATGCATTGCAGTTTTGCGGAGTATAAAAATCTTGATGCGACTGAAAAGTCGCCTCATCAAAGCTTAAAAAAATTTTTTGAAAAACTTTTTTTTTTTATGCATTTTTTTATCTCTATAGTTATGCTGCTATAGGCTTAGACTGCTGGAGGACATAGGGACCCCCATTTCAACATTCTGCTTCATTCTATCTCTATTCTCCCACTCTGCATAATCTGTTAGTTCAATCTCTAACGTTCTGCTCTCTCTGCTTTTTCTCATAGTAGCTTTGAATCATCTGTTCCTGGAGAGAAATATCAGCTGTGCTGCTGCCATCCACTAGCCTGGGTGCCGTCCGAACTTAGTCCCGCCCACAAGGTTTGAGTTCGGGGAAGTTCGGTCTGGCTCTGCTCCATAGTAGCGCGAGTATTATCGCCCACTGTCAGGCGATCCAATCAAATTGTCAGGGCGGGCTTTATACGATGATGGACAGATGACCAACAGTAACGTAATCAACCACGTGACCAAAGCGCGCTTGGGTGACAACAACGATGGCTGCTGCTGGAGAGTTTAGGTGAGTAGATTCTGCTATTAGGTCTGTTCTAGAAGATATCGACAGCAAATTAATTTTAAAAGAGGAACAGAGAAACGCGATCAAGGCTCATCTTCTTATTCTAGGCGTGCAACTGCACGCTTTGATTTTTGTTGACAACAACTATGCTTCGCTTAAGATACGTCACGCACTCCGTTGCTCTTATTGGTTGTAGGTCTATCCAATTGAGTGCAGAGGCATTTTTTTCCTGGTTCGTTCGAAACACGCCCCATAATCACAGCTCTATGGAGCAGCATCAGACTCATATTCTGACTAGAATTGAGTCGGACTACGTCAGGCTAGCCATCCACACCTTTATTCATAGATGTTGGAGATCGGCCTGTTTTTCCAGTGTAGTCCTGTTTCTCTGACTAACTGAATGTGCTCTCTTCATCCTCTGGCTGCTTTCGAATCTCTGCTTCTGTCTCCTTGAACCCCAGTCGGCCTCAGCAGATGGCCGCTCACACTGAGCCTGGTTCTGCTGAAGGTTTCTTCCAGTTAAAAGGGAGTTTTTTTTCTCCGCTGTCGCTACAAGCATGCTTAGTGTGAGGGATTGCCTTCGAATCAATGAGTCGATGCAATCAACTGGTTTTCCTTAGATGGAAAACTTTGACTGTAGGATCTGGTTAACTGTAAAGTGCCTTGAGATGACATGATGTGAATTGACACTATATAAATAAACTGAATTGAATTTCATGTCTACAACTTTATGTTAAAAGACGAAAATAGGAAGTTTTAAGATTTTGTTTTTATTTGACTTGTGTCCTCCTGTGTCTGAAGTTACCTTATGATCTTTGGGATTCTTTCAAATGTTGAGAATGCTGCAGAAAAGGAGCAAAGGATAACTGCCTTTGTCCTCTGGTGCAGATTTAATGACCTTTTCCTAAAGCTGATACACTTTCACAAAAATTTTAAGTTAGCTTATGAACGGAAAACTCTTCACAGGGACGGCTGTTTCCCAGATCCCAAAAGGACATTAGTTTAATAAGAAGAGTGAGGTTGTCTGACTGCATTAAGCGCAGGACAAGGGGGAGGGGACAGATCTTTATCTGCCCCAGATAAACCAAGTCACTTTCTATCGTCATCATCCTTATTGAGTCCAGACTAAACGCAATAAGAAGGAAAATGTGTTGCATAACAATTAACAGTCACAGTATCCTAAAATAGTAAAACACGTGGGAGCAAATGATGCAAATGAATGTTCTGCAGCACATCCTC